CTTTGAAGGTTATATACTCTTTTGGTTTTGCGTCCTGGTCTTGCTGCTGTGCCAGGGGCTTTGTTACCTGTTCCTACCACAAGGGAACCAGCCCACATCCTTAATCACTGTGATACCTTCCGTAATCATGACCCAAATAAACTCTTCCCCCATTAAGTTGTTTTGAAGAATTTGGGGGCTGAGGGGATGGCTCAATGGTTAAGAGTGCTTCCTGCTTTTCCAGAGCACATGTAATTGGTTCCCAGCACCCATATCAGGCAGCTGACAACCACCTGTAATTGTGACTACAAGAGATTTAACACCCTTGTTTGACACCACTTGAACACATCACATACACAATCCTTACACAGAGATAAAAATAAAAAGAAGAATTAAAACATTTCTTTTGTTGTGTATGTGCGCACACGCCGCGGTGTCAGAGGACAGCATGGAGGAACTGGTTCTTTCCTTCTATCATGTGGGTTGCAGGCTTCAAACTCAATTTGTCAGGCTTGTCATGCTTGGTTGTAAACCATGTTAATCCTGTTTTGCTTTGTTTTTTTTTTTTTTTAATTAAAAGTGTGTGTGTGTGTTAAAAAGAGAGAGAGGTGGGGGAGGTTTGAGATGGGGTAGTAAGTTGCTTTTGCAGGAATTTTGTCACTCCCAAAGAAAAGTAATTTGCTCTTAGAGAGGTGAAGTTTTGGAAGACTCAGGCCCCAGGGCATTCTCAGTAGGTGGTACCTGATTAGAAGAAAGTGGTTCAGACACTGTCATCAAATCCACAGCATTATTCAGCAGAGGGATAAACCTCTCACCATCTTAGCCAACATTAAATGACTCCAGTCATTTGTTGGGCGGTGGATTGGGCTCTGAGTTGACAGAGGAGCCCCAAACTAGACAGCCAGGTCCCTTTATGTGCATTATGCAATGCAAGTCAGGAGAGATCCCATGTGCATCCAGGAATCCTAAGTTTGGAGAGGGCGGTGGTGAATATGAGCGCACAATGGGGCACAGCAGGGAAGAGGGGATGGAACTTGGAATGAAAGTTGAGCTGGGGATTAGTCTGGAAGAGTGATTGATCTAGACCCACCTAGAGACTTTTCTCAGTCAGAAATACGGGCATACTAGAAACTGCTTCATATCTTGGTTTTACCTGAATCAGAAAATAGAGGTTCTTTTGTTTGTTTTTTGTTTTTAAATCAGCCATTGAGATTGTGACCCCAGAAGGAAGAAGAAACAAAGACTTAGAGAACAAAGCAGAGCTGGGGGGGGGGAGGGGGAGGACCAATTATCATGTATTTATGTGTAGAAGTTATGATACAGATCCAGCAGGTCAACCTGATAGTTGCCAAACTGTATACATGGCTGGCTTGAAGTTCAGGATTTTCATGCAGAAGCAGCATTTTGCACTCTGAACATTAGCCTAACACTGGGGGCAGGAGAGAGTTTGCCAATCACAGAAGTCAAGCTTGGTGGGAGAGAACAGGTCTGAAAGGCTTTGAGTTTTGAGCTCTTTAGGGACACCGAGGAAAGATTATCTTTTGGAGTAGGACAGTTATGAGATGACTATTGGCCACAGCCAGACAGATGGCAGTGTGGTGGGGGCAGGGCTGATCTCAGAGGAGAGGTCAGGCCCATATGGTATAGTGGGAGTCCTTCTCCCAGTTTCCACAGGAAGTGCTGTGGGAAGGAGACGATTTGTAGTTGGTCATTGCTGGGGTAACCAGGGAGTAGTCAGTTAAGCATTATTCATAATAGCCAGAACCTGGAAACAACCTAGATGCCCCTCAACCAAACAATGGATAAAGAAAAGGTGGTCCATTTACACAATGGAGTACTACGCAGCGGTAAAAATTAGTGACATCTTGAAATTTGTAGGCAAGCAGATGGATCTAGAAAAAACATTAAGTGAGGTAACCCAGACTCAGAAAGACAAATAATATATACTCACTCATAGCTGACTTTTAGACATAAACCAGAGAAAACCGCCTACAACCCACAACCCTAGAGAACCTAGACAACAAAGAGGACCCTAAGAGAGACATACACGGATCTAATCCACACGGAAGTGGAAAAAGACAAGATCTCCTGAGTAAATAGGGGGCATGGTGGTCACAGGAAAGGGTGGAAGGGGAGAGGGGAGCAGAAAAAGTGAATACCTCAATAAAAACAATGAAAAAAGAATAATAAGCAATGAGTAAACACTTCCTTTGGCCATTACAGGGTTAATAGGGTAGAGAAGGGAAGAAACCAGAGAAGCAAAATCTCTTTCGCTACAAGAACTGTCACAGTTTAATCAAAATGAAGGAGATTTATAGAAATGGCCTGGCTACTGGCTGAGCTGGAAATTCTTGGGCTGCTGGTCTCAGTGGCTGTTGGCTCTTCCCAGATCCACAAGAGAAGACTGGCTTGTAGAGATGGAATGAGGCCCAGAGAGAAGCTCAGTGGGTAAAGGGGCTGACTTGTCACCAAGGCAGACCGCCTGAGCTTGATCTCTGGGGCCCACATGGTAGAAGGTAAGAGCCTGTCTCTGAAGGTGGTCCTCTGACCTCCACACGTGGCACTCATAATCTCCACGCGTGTACACAGACGACAGATGAAATGCAATAGGTAAGTGTCTGTGGAAAGGAAAGGTACCAGGAATGCTGGCAGCAAGGGCTCCAGAAGGGTCCTCGCAGGGGATCTGTGCTGAAGAACCCAGGAGTGGGTTTGAAAGGGCAGAACACGTTTCCTTTAGCTTACTGATAGCTCATAGGGCATATATTAAGTGTCACAATAAAAGTCATAAAATAAGTATGAGATAGTATCACATGATGCAAATTCTTCTGAAAGACAGACAAAAATGAACATTAATGAAGAGCTGACAGGAAGAACCAACATTTATATTTTGCTGAATTTAGTGTTAGGGATTTTTGTGTTTTATAATCTCATTTGCATGTATTTTGACAAAAAGACACACCACAGATCAAATCGATGCCACAGAACTGAACACTTTAAACTACCTTAACAGGTAGCATACATATTATATACCGGGTAAGTTAAATGTATTATATATATATTTATAAATATATTATATATAATAGTAATATTTTGAAAATAGGCAGCCCCAAATGATAGGATTAATGGAAGTGCCTTACTCTATATTCACGGTGGCTGCACAGCACACACTGCCCCTCTGCACTTAGCATTAGCTTACTTAATAGTGATTCATTCTGCACTCATCTCTAGACTTTTCCACCACTGAAACCGGTCGTGATGTGAAGCCACCTCTGCACGTACGTACATAACAGGAATGAAGGGTGACGTTCTCTCCTGCCTACCTAACAGCTTCTCGTCATCTTGTGACAATCTGGAGGGTGACTTATCTCCTTGAACCCCCCTTGTGTCTCCTGAACTCTTTGGAAACCTACTTGAAGTACTTGCCCAACACGTTGCTTCTGCTTGGGCACCTGACTCATACCTCTGATACAGTGGAAATTAACACACAGCCTGTTCCCTAGCGACTGATGCAGTTTTTCTAAAATTTATATTTTGCTGCTGCTGGAGCTGGCTCACCATTACCTTGTTCTCTGTTTGCCATTCCTGAAACAAAGATGGGGCTGTAGGAGACAGCAGGGAGCTGGGACGCTAAGCTCTAGGTGTGAGGCAAACACATGTTTGTCTTCGTTCGTGGAACCAGGGAGCAGCTGTACTCAGTGTTCCTCTAGCCCCCCTTTCACTCCTGGGATTTCACAGCTCAGTGACCTGCACTCCCCTAACTTATTCCCTTTTCTGGACTGGAGATTCTATGCCGTTGCTTAAAACTCAGGCCCTGTTTTAATCACTGGATAAAGTGTTCTGTGCATTACTCTGGGACAGATAAGACTAGTAAAATGGTGGGTGGAATAAGCAGAGTGAGGGCATAGTGTGTGCATGTTTGTATGACAAGGACACCGACTGTCATGATCGCCAGAGAAAACACCTCTGCGAGGTGTGCACTATGCATCTTTTTCTCCCGTGTCCCCAGATGCAGGACTCCCTTATATGCTGGACGTCTGGAGAAAGGGAGGGTTGCCTGAGTTAATGAGGGTAGAATTTGTGTAGTTCATCATGAGAGTTTGCAGAGGTGTGCAGGGCAAGAGTGGGTTGGTATGTATCAGGGCTAACTAAAAGGAAAAATGGGAGAACAAAGAGGAAAACTGGTACTAAAGCACGTAAGGTGAATCCTGACTTCGGGGTGCAGTACTGAGGATGAGAGGTAGTAGCTTAGGGCATAGAAAATGGTTGGGGGGGGGCTGGAGAGATGTCTCAGAGGTTAAGAGCATTGTCTGCTCTTCCAAAGGTCCTGAGTTCAATTCCCAGCAACCACATGGTTGCTCACAACCATCTGTAATGGGGTCTGGTGCCCTCTTCTGGCCTACAGGCATACACCCAGACAGAATATTGTATACATAATAAATAAATACATATTTAAAAAAAAGGAAAGAAAACAGTTGGGTATGGCTTAGCCAGATACAGAAGGACCTTTGAGTGCCAGTATACAATACCTAGAGACTCTTCCATGGGAGCCTCCTAATGTGTCTTTACAGCCCCCTGGAGTACACTGTGATGGTTAATGCTAATGAGATGTCATCTATACCAATCCTTGTCAGGATATAAGTCTTGACTCACAGAGGGAGGCAAAGGAGTGGGAATGATTCAGCATGTATCACACAGAGGCAAGCGTGCACTTAAAAGCAATTTAATGGAGGCAAAGCAGGAAATACACACTTTTTTTCCCATAGAGAATCCCATAGAGTTCTGCTTCAGATGAACTCTGAGGAATCAAAGAACATTCAAGGCACTGAGATCTTCCACTTAACTCAGAGGCTCTAAAGATACCTTGGATAATATAGAGAAAGACACCAAAGCATCTATTTTTAGGGTACAGTAGAGAGTGTGGCAAAAGATTGTGATCTCTAGACAATGGGGAAGAAGCAGACAGGAAGGAGTTCAGCAGCAGGTGGCTGGCTCTTTAAGAGTCTGGTTGGCTATGGACTGTGTTACTTCTGCTTTGTCTTCTGCTGAGTTAATTGTGGAATGACATTTGTGGGGTATACCTCAGTAACCTTAGCCTGACATGGCTCTGGTACCTTAGAATATCCCTGGTCAGGTACATTGGTGTAGCCCTGATCAGGGACCTTGGTATAGTTGGGTTCAGAGACATTCACAAAGCCAGGTTCAGAGAAATTGGTAGTGCATGGCCTAGGAACCATGGTACAATCTGGCCCAGGGATGTTGGTAGAACATGGCCCAGGGACTGTGGTATAATCTTGCCTAGTGGTGTTGGTAGTACATGGCCCAGGAATTGTGGTATAATCTTGCTTAGCTGCATTGGTAGTGCCTGGCCCAGGAATTGTGGTATAATCTTGCTTAGCTGCATTGGTAGTGCATGGCCCAGGAATTGTGGTATAATCTTGCTTAGCTGCATTGGTAGTGCCTGGCCCAGGAATTGTGGTATAATCTTGCTTAGCTGCATTGGTAGTGCCTGGCCCAGGAATTGTGGTATAATCTTGCTTAGCTGCATTGGTAGTGCCTGGCCCAGGAATTGTGGTATAATCTTGCTTAGCTGCATTGGTAGTGCCTGGCCCAGGAATTGTGGTATAATCTTGCTTAGCTGCATTGGTAGTGCCTGGCCCAGGAATTGTGGTATAATCTTGCTTAGCTGCATTGGTAGTGCCTGGCCCAGGAATTGTGGTATAATCTTGCTTAGCTGCATTGGTAGTGCCTGGCCCAGGAATTGTGGTATAATCTTGCTTAGCTGCATTGGTAGTGCCTGGCCCAGGAATTGTGGTATAATCTTGCTTAGCTGCATTGGTAGTGCCTGGCCCAGGAATTGTGGTATAATCTTGCTTAGCTGCATTGGTAGTGCCTGGCCCAGGAATTGTGGTATAATCTTGCTTAGCTGCATTGGTAGTGCCTGGCCCAGGCATTGTGGTATAATCTTGCTTAGCTGCATTGGTAGTGCCTGGCCCAGGCATTGTGGTATAATCTTGCTTAGTGGTGTTGGTAGACCATGACCCAGGCATTGTGGTATAGTCTTGCTTAGTGGCGTTGGTAGTGCCTGGCCCAGGAATTGTGGTATAATCTTGGTCAGTGGTGTTGGTAGTGCCTGGCCCAGGCATTGTGGTATAGTCTTGCTCAGCAGTGTTGGTAGACCATGACCCAGGCATTGTGGTATAGTCTTGCTCAGCCATGTTGGTAGACAATGACCCAGGCATTGTGGTATAATCTTGCTTAGTGGCGTTGGTAGTGCCTGGCCCAGGCATTGTGGTATAATCTTGCTCAGCAGTGTTGGTAGACAATGACCCAGGCATTGTGGTATAGTCTTGCTCAGCCATGTTGGTAGACAATGACCCAGGCATTGTGGTATAGTCTTGCTTAGTGGTGTTGGTTGAGCATGTCCCAGGCATTGTGGTATAGTCTTGCTCAGCCATGTTGGTAGACAATGACCCAGGCATTGTGGTATAGTCTTGCTCAGCCATGTTGGTAGACAATGACCCAGGCATTGTGGTATAGTCTTGCTTAGTAGCATTGGTAGTGCATGGCCCAGGGACTGTGGTATAATCTTGCTCAGTGGTGTTGGTGGAGCATGGCCCAGGCATTGTGGTATAATCTGGCTCAGGGATGTTGGTAGAATGTGACCCAGGGATTGTGGTATAATCTTGCTTAGTCGCATTGGTAGTGCATGGCCCAGGCATTGTGGTATAGTCTGGCTCAAGGACGACAGTGTAGCCTGGCTCAGGCACTTTAGTGTTGAAGGGCTCTGGAATCTTAGTGTTTCCTGGTTGTGGAACATCTGTGTAGCATGGCTCCGTGGTGGTTATGGGAACAAATTTTCCTTGTGGTGGAGGCTGACAAGGTTGCTTCACTTGATGCTGTTGAGGCTGAGGAGGTGCCACAAAGGGCTGCTTCTGCTGGTAGGAGCTCATGCTTCAAAGGATGCTGACCCTAGAGACAAGACAACTGGTTAGGTAGTTTTGAGGGAATGGGCAGAATACTAAATACTTTTTATTGCTTTTCTCCTATAAATTAAAGACACTTTTATTTTCCTGAGCTGGATGGAAATCATAGATTATTTTTATAGTTGCTACTTACTTTTACAGCAAAATATTAAAGTAATTTGACCACCTCTGTATAAGAAATAAATGGTTATAGTCATTTTTTTCCTTCCTTCCTTCCTTCCTTCCTTCCTTCCTTCCTTCCTTCCTTCCTTCCTTCCTTCCTTCCTTCCTTCCTTTCTGCTTTTTGTTTTGGTTTTCGAGACAGAGTTTCTCTGTGATACAGTCCTGGCTGTCCTGACCTCACTTTGTAAACCAGGCTGGCCTCCAACTCACAGAGATCCATCTGCCCTTGCCTCCCAAATGTTGGGATTAAAGGCGTGCACCACCATTGCTAAACTTTAGTCAATTTCATTATGAGACTCATTTCACATCCGCCAGAGTTAAGGATCTCAGGAAAGCCTAGAACATTCTCTCCTCTGGCTGGCAGTTTGCTTTGTGACTGAGCCCACAAGCAGGAAAGAGGGCAGCCTCCAGCTTCAAATATTCATTATATAAAGCTCGGTATCCTAAACTAAAAGAACAGAGAACTTGGGAAGTCTTGACCTATGAGAAGAAAAGCCAGGAATTTCTCGAGATCTTGTCTTGTACTAGTCCAGCACTGTGGACACCTTGTCTTTTCTCTCTGCTAGTACCCTTTTCTGCAGAATGGTACCTTAAAACCTGCTGCCTTTTCTCTAGTCTCTTGAATTTGTTATTTTGTTTTCCACATCTGTGTGAATGGAGCTCTTTTATATGTTTTTTCTTCCATGATTTTTTTTAACCTATGTATAGACCATAAACAGAACAGAACAACTCAAACCAGCAGGAAGCTCCTAGGATTGCTGCAAATCCTAGTTTTTCAATCATTTCAGGCAAAAATGTCTAGAGTAGAACTCTGATAGGAAGGCTTCCTGTGAACCTTCCCTCCTACTTGCAAGATTCACATCTGAGCCCCAGTTCACACTTGTCCTCTGCATTTGCTTTTTGTGAGTTCTCACTGCACTATGCTTGTTCATACAGGCTTGCCCACCATGCCCACCCCAGGCCTCTGCCACATTCCAAGTTCTCTTCCTTCTCCTGCCCAAGCAAGACTCTGACTCTTCCATTTCTAGTAAGCCCTGTGTTATATTTGTGGTGAATTATAGGTCCATTAAGCAAAGATTTTAAGATTTGAGCATCCAAATGCGTAGAGTAGTGTCTTTGATGGTGAAAATTCTCAACTCGAGTAGAGGACACTGAAGTGCCTGGTCGTGTTGTCTCATCCACAACTTCCTGTCAGCCTGATGCTGCTCTTTATAGAGCCCCCCTTTTCTGATCCTCACCCCACAGCTCTAGTTGGAGAAGGAAGTGAAACATATGCAGTGAAATTAAGTGGACAAACCTTTAGATTGTCAAGAGTTTCCAACCAAGATCAGCACAGAAGTGTGGCAGAAAGTTCTGAGTGGGGAGTCTTACCTTAGAGGATGAAGCTCTCTGGACTCTCGGATCTGCTGAGAGATCTCTGGCCAGCTGGATATTTATACAGAAAAGGAACCCTTCCTTAAGGAAGTAGATTTTTGGAGTTGCTCTGCCTTCATTCCAGCTTTTATGAATGAAAATCCATGGCTTAACATTGCATTCATGCCTACTGTCTGATGGTGATGTCACCTGGCCTGACTCCACTGTCCACCCTTGTGGTGTGGCTGCTATGATGGGGATCAGGCTTCTTGGGAGGTGATGTATTAAATCAAAAGGAAATGATAGATGCCTGGGACTAGAAACAACCCTATCCACTAATCCAGCTCAGCCTCTCAGTATTTGGAGTGGATGCAGAGGTATTTCTCGTTCCTCTGGAAGGTCCCAGGGAAATGTCAATGAAGAACTTACTTGCCAGCAGACCATGCTGGTGAGGGGAAATAGGAGGCTGAAAGTATGAGAGTTTTGGGAAACAGTTCTTTTCACTGTGGAGGGAGTCCTAAAGGGACAGGCTGGCTTTTAAAATTTTAAATTAAAAACTTTTGATTACCAAATAATAGTATGAACCTTCAAAACAAAATGACGTTTGCTTCATGCAAATATTGCACAAAAATCAAATAAAGGTTATTAGTATATGTAGTATTTTAGTTTTTTATTTCTTCTCTAGGGCAAATGCATTCAAAATCCTCTCAGCCATTTTGAAATATGTTATGCATTGGTGTTCACTTATTTACCCAATGGTGCCATTAAACACCCCATCCCCACTTCTCTTTTCAGCCTCTGATGGCCGCAATTCTACCTTCAGCTTCCAGAAACTGTGTTTTACATCCTACATATGAGCAAGCTCAGGTGATGTTTGCCTTTGCCACTTTACTAGCCTCAGGGATCTCCAGTTCCAGTCCTATGTCACAAACGAAAGGGTCCCATTGTGTGTGTGCACCCACTTCCTTTATCCATTAATCGTAGATAGGACTGCAATAAACTTTGCGGTTCAGGGGTTTCTTTAACGTGGTGAATAATTTCTTAGGGGGACATGCCTAGTGGTGGAATTGTAGGTTTGTAAAGTAATTTTACTTTCAGCCTTTTCTGTTTCTTTAAAAGCTGTACTGACTTGCATTCCCACCAATTCTTTTCTGTGTATCCTGGCCAGAGTTTGTTGGGTTTTGCTTTGTTGATAATAGCTATCCTTACTGGGGTGATGTTGTATTTCCTTGTAGTTTTGATTTGAGTTTCTCTGATGGTTAGGGTTGCTCAGCTTCTTTTTAATGTATCTATTCATATTTTCACTTGAGAAATTCAGTACTTTACCCAGTAGTTGCATTGGATTATTAGGTCATTTTATTCTATTAAGTGATTTTAGTTCCTTATATAGTATGGATATTATGTCCTATCACATATGCAGCTTAAAAGTATTTCTTTTTCAAATCTGAAGTGATTACTTAGCACTGCTACTTTTTTTTATTTTACTGTGTGGAAGCTTTTGAGCTTCATTTAATACCATTTGTCAACTTGCGATTTGTTGTTTATGCTTTGTGTAATATCTTAAATTGTTTGCCCAGGTCAACATCTAGAACAATTCCAGTAGTTACAGAAATTCCCATCATGCATTTAAGTCCTTTGATCTATTCACGGTTACCCCTAGAACCAGTGAGGGAGAGGCAGTCTAGTGTAATTCTTTGGCATATGGAACTGTTTGCACAGCACCGTTCATCTTTACTGAGGAGCCTGGCCTGCTGTGTCAGGCTCTTTACTCTTCTGCACAGTGCAGTTGGCTGTAAATGCATTTGGGCTGATTCCTGAGCTTTCTATACTGTTACACTGCTCAATAAGTATGGGTTTATGCCAGTACCTTGCTATTTTAGTTTCTGAAGATTTGTAATGTTTTCAAGTCAAATGTTGCAGTGCCTTCATTTGAATTTTCAAGATAGATTTGACTATTTGGGGAGACTTTTGTGGTCTTACAAATTTCAGGATCTTTGGTATTTCAGTATTTTGATAGGCATTGCATGAATATTTTGACATGATAAATGCCTCCAACCCATGAGCATGGAATATCTTGCCATGTGTTTGTATCCTCTTCAATTTCTTCTATGAGTATTTCATATTTTCCATTGTAGACATTTTTCATCTTATTTTTAAGTTTATTAATAGATATTTTATTATTGTAGGTAGTGTAAATGGGATTGTTCTCTAATTCCTTTTTATGGATCATGTGGATTTAGTTGATCACATGGGCACCACTCTGTTGCATGGAGAGTGTTCTGTCCCGGCTGCCCAGCTAGCTTACACCCAAAGTAATTACACAGAAACTGTATTCATTTAAACACTGCTTGGCCCACTAGCTCTAACTTTTTATTGGCTAATTTTTATTTCTTAATTTAACCCATTTTTGTTAATCTGTGTATCACCACATGATTATGGCTTATCGGCAAGATTCTAACCAGTGTCCATCTCAGGCAGGAGATTCATGGTGTCTGTCACTCTGCCCTTCTTCCCAGCATTTAGTTCTGTCTACTCCAGCTACCAAAGTTCTGTCCTATCAACTAGGCCAAGGCAAATTCTTTATTCAATATCCAATGAAAGCAACACACAGAAGGAACTCCTATACCAATTTTAGGAAACAATCACATTTCTGGGCCTGCAGGTGTTTTTGAAACTGATAGAACTTTTTTCTAGTATTCTACCCTAGATTCTGCTGAGACCAGCAGGCAATGCCCTGGACAGCTGCACCTTGCTTTTGGGATCTCCAGTAGCATGAACCTCTGAACTCAGACGGAACACTGGACTTTGTTCTGCTGTCTGGTAAAGATCACTCATTGGGCACTGCAAGCAGTGGAGCTTCTGGGTACTGAAATTGTCTCTTAGCCATTGTGCCACTGTATTAGTTACTATTCTCACCACTGAGGTGCAAAGTACTGAACAGAAACAACTTAATGGAGGGTCGGTTTGTCTTGGCTCTTGTGTCTTAAACATACCCATTGCAGCACAGAAGACCCAGAAGCTGGAGCCTGCTCTGCTGTGGTGTGGTTTGCTAGCATCTCAGTAGATCAGGGTGCAGAGAGCCAAACCACAAGTCAGACAAACATATGAAACTCAAAGTGGCCCTATATCTTCCAGCTAGGCCCAATGTCCAAAAGGCTCCACAGTCTCTGAAGTCCTTTTCAAAGTGCTCAACAAAGGAGCCTCTAGGGATGTTCACACCTAGGCCAAAATAGCTGTGGGATGTGTTTCTTTACCAACAGATGCCGCTACTGGAGGCCGTTAGAAAGAGTTACGGGAGGTGTGTGTGTGTGTGTGTGTGTGTGTGTGTGTGTGTGTGTTGGGGTGGCCCCTATGGTTCCACGGCTCAGGGTGAACAGGTTAGCTGCTATTTAGTAAGAAGCTGAAGCAAGTGTTGACTAAACACTTTCATATGACAAAAGTAACTCCTGAGTTTT